TGCTAAATAAGTTACGAACGGACACCCTAAATAATTATTTGAATTCTCTCTCAACAAACAATCAAATCCTAAGGTAATTTTTTATAATTAAATTCACTCTCACCTCTTCACCCTTCTGGATTATTTACTTTGACGTCAATGAAATGTAAAGTTAGAGAAGGTGTTCAATAGAGATTGGTGTTTCCAAAGTTGTACAGATGGCATTGTGATCTACTGATTTATATCTAGTTTTTCTTTTGATTATAGGAATGCAAATGTCCCAGAACTTTCTTCGTCTCCCCAGTTACTTCAAATGTCTCAACATATAGAGTATTTTGTTTTATTGCGTGTAAATATATGAGTTGTTTATACTTTTTGTTCATCTCATTCAACACTGAAATATTACTGTTAATTTCAAGTAATGACAACTCTGTATATTCTATGATGTTTTTCCTAATTTAGAAGAATCTGTGTGATATAAGATGAAATCGTATGAATCTACTGATCTTTTATTTCCTAAATTGACAAACGAAGATATAAGTGTTTAGATTAATTATTAAATAGTCTCATGCAAATTCGAGTAAACAAAATAAAATAATTCCCAGTAAAAAATTATATGGAAATAAATAGATAAGGTTTATAATTATACATTCAGCTCTGATCCAAAAACTTTGTACGTTCATAGTGTTACTAAATTGTCTAAATCAACAATGAAGAGACAGTTGTTTAAAGAACAATCTCAATGCTAGAGCATAGATCACCAGTGGAATTATGATTGTCCAACGTTGGAAAGATTCAAACTAGAACAAAACAAGTGTTCTATGCTCTTTACTCTTAAAATGCTTCTCACTAGATTTCGGTTCAGAAAAATACCCGTCTTCGAGTTGAATTAACCTCCTCAAACCTATTTATCAAATAATATTCTTAATAACCACATCATATCTTTAAATTGACTAGTCACTGAGTTTTAGCCACTTCAGTCCATTAGTACTGATTAAATTTTATTAACTAAGTTGCAATATGGTCACTAGTCTAACTGATTCAACTTTTTGTGTACTATGCTTTCATGTCAGGTGATTACTATTCAGTGCTCAATCAGTATAAATACTTCGGAATTTTAGATCAGCAGCTGACCGAGGGTTTGAGTGATTATAAGTCGATCTTACTGACGAGCCCTAACTCCTACAAAACCCAGATTTAGGGTATTTTGTGAATTACCACCAAACTACCTAACATCCTAAATATTTGATAAGAGACTACTTAGTTCATTAAATGTTGTGATTCACACGACATACCATAGAAAAAGGTGAAGAAGTAATAATAAATTCACTTTTTATTGTTTACTTGAATCTCCTTATTGATGTTTAGGACTGCAATTGATCAGTCTCTTATTGGCATATGTGCATCCTGGTGGATTGCCTCGATATTGCCTTAATTCACAAACACTCTAAGCAAAGATGAATAGTGGTTAACAGCGGAATCCAGGACGCACGTTTCGTCCTACCTGGGACTCGTCAGCCGGTTATACCTGCATCCTAGAACTGATGTTCACTTCAGGACTCGAACTCAGTACCGTTTGCTTCAAACGCCATCGTGTTATCCAGCTGACGAGTTCCAAATAGGACTAAACACACATCCTGGATTCCACTGCTAGCCATTATCTATGTTTACTTATAGTACTCTTTAATGTTTAACATAAAAGTTTACACTAAACTAGTCCGAAAATATAATAACTAATTCAATACTAAACTTGACTAGTCTAGTCTATAATTTTTCACAAAAACTTGAACATTTTTACATTTAACATAATCACTTTACATGACCTAATCCAATTTAAATGATTATTTATACATTTACTGACTGATATATTTGTAGAGTAGTGAATAAATTCAATACATTATGGAAATACATCATAACACTTTTGTTTATTATATAGAAACAAAGTATCTAACCTACATAATATTTAACATGATCCATTTATGAATTTATTAACAAATAACATATAATGAAAGATACGTCATATCGGTTAATGTATATAATTAGTCAATTGAAAAATATTAATATTACAATTAGAAGGGGTTTTGTGGAGATTGCAGTAATTTCAATAGTTAAGACCATGAGTCAGTTGATGCTAGACTACCATGGAAAACCTCGAAGCACTGGACGGCCGTTTCGTCTTATTGTGGGACTCCTCAGAAGTGCTCATCCACGACCCTGCCAGCAGGATTTGAACCCAGGACCTATCAGTCTCGCGCGCGAGTGCTTAACCACCAGACCAACGGCCGTCCAGTGCTTCCAGGTTTTCCATGGTGGTCTAGCTTCGATTGACTCATGATCTCAACTAGTGAAATTAATATTACAATTAATAGAAATATTTAATGACAAATTTCCAAATATATTCGTTTTAAAATTTCAGTAAATATGTGAACAGAACCAACAAGACTTCCCGTTCAACTTGATAAGAACTTGAAAAATGCTTAATAAGATACTTTATTTAATAAAGTAATTCTTTTCAATTTGATTAGATTTATAATATGTTCATGAAGATTCTGTGAACGCTTAACCTTTACACAACTAAGCCAGTACTCAATGGCGTTAAATTTTAACTTCAATCAATTCGTAATTTCGCCTGTGGTGGATAGCTGTCTCACATGGATTGAATTTCACTGGTCACATGCTTTCACTGGAAATGACCGTCCAGTGCTTTCAAGTCTAGGTAAAATCAGTTCGCAATTACAATTGTGTATATACTACAATTTCTACAAATCCCTTATAACTCTATAAAATCGAAAGTGATTTCTCTGTAATATCCCTTGCAAAAACGGATTGCTTCAACCAATGTTAAAGGATATCAATTGTTTCCACATAGTATATACATTCTAAACTGACCAATTCATGAATAACTTCGCTTAAATAAATCTACCTTTATATTGTAAGAAAAACAGACAATGGAGGAAATATGATGCACAGATATTTCAAGAGTAAATAACCAGTTACTATATTAATTAACGAAAAAAATCCACCAAGTATTTAAAATACAGTTACCACGATGTTTAAGTCAGAAACAAAAAGTTTATACTCAAAAATGTTAGAATGATGAAGAATTTTGATCTTAGGAAACAGATGTTGATTCCTAGTCTATAACTCTTCAATGATGAATACCAATACATCTAAAAAAATTTACATCAACTTACTTAATAAAGGACTGATATTTCTACGATGTTTACAGAGCACTTGATTAAGTTAAGTTATGAAACGACCAAGCACATTTAACGACAGACCTATCATGGTCATTTTTGTTGTGGTTCAGCGCTCTGCTCTTATACCGAAGCGGAACTGTAATCATCCTTCCTTACAATATTAATTCGCAAACATAAAATCATGGCAGTCATAGTATGAAAATACCGGATCCTAACTACTGTATTACGAAACATATCAATTTGTAGTTATGCCACTTTTTTAGTGTACTCATATACTTCGTACATTGTTTACCGCAGAATGTGCTAATAAGAGGGATGTCTAATAGGGTGCACAGTTCAACACTCTAAAATCCAATCACCGATGATATATTTTCTTTGAATCATATGCTTCGACTTATTAAAATCTTTGTGACAGTTCATGAATCATATCTTTCTAAATACTGTACGCTATATTTTGAAATGTCGAGTCTATTTTCACCAACCTGTTCATATCTGTAAATCAGTATGGATTGTCATTATGTATATACCACAAACAGTAATTTCATTAAGTTGTTTTCTACAGAACAATACTATTGCACAACAATTTTCTACCTCAAGTCATTACATGATGCCAAAAATCTCCAAATTTAGAAAGAACTCTAAATGAAATCATGAAATTTTCCTACAGATTCTAATACACGAAAATCCTTTCCCATGTAATTAAGGTGACCAAAAATCCAAACATTTTAAGTATAAAGTTTTTCAGGTCATGAAATTTCTTGTCAGCGAGAAGTAGGATGCACTGAATGTTAGATGTTTGAAGTGCTCATTCCGACTGCTGTCAACTTGCATGTCTATTAATTCCATCCGTAGACAATGATTAGCTACCGCCATTCCAGAAAATAAAGCAACCGACAAATTAAACTTTGTTTGAACTATGGAATCTCAAGAATGTCATCAACATTTATTGCGGAGCTCCCTGATGTCGTTACGTTCCACATGTTGACTAAAGAGATATGAGTTTACCTTGACATTTAAATCGAGTCTTATGTATATATATTTTACATGGTTCATAAACTACATCAGATAGTTGTACATAACACTGAAAATTAAAACCCTGTAATTGTACACTCGGCATTACTCAAGGATTAAGCCATCACGACTTAACACTATTTATTAACTGCTTAAAATGCAGACTACTGAATGACTCTTACCCCGGAACGTAGCTTCTATCTTGAGGTGATAGTCGGACCCACCTGTTACGATTAACGAAATGGGCTATATTAGGTGAAATATTAGTTTATATTTTGCCATGTCAGTTGGACAGTGGTAACTTAAGGTCCGAAGTCATCCTGCCAACTGCAATGAGGTATGATGATAGCAAGGTGTTTCCTTCGAACGAGTATTTACGGTGATAGTGACTTCCCATTTAGGAAGGAAGCAGTTAGAAAAGGTTGATTCTAAAAAGAACACGCCTCACCCTGCCCCAAGGATTTTTGTCACTAAAGGTAAGGTCCTAAAACGAGTTAACCCATCAAAAACTACTGGTGAGAATGCCGCGTATTATCAACCTCAAGCATTTATATTTTGGGCTCTGTAGTTAGGTTTTTTGTCATTAGACCGGTCCCCAAAGACGTATTTTTACATGGTGTAAGCGACCGTCCTCATATTCCTAATGGCATCTCAAATTCACCGGTATTATTCTTTTTAGATTTTATTTACAACTGAACTTTCGTATTTCTTGCTAGACACATTACTGCAGTGAAGTTAGTCATGTTAGACACTTCTTCCGTTTATCAATATCACAAATTAGGAAATTTAAGAAAAAATAACGCAAAATTGTATAAATTGAATAGTAACCTTTTAATCAAACAGTACATCTAATAAAAATGAAACATTAATGTAAATGACTTTTGAGCAGTTTAAAATCAAAATGTTGTTTATATTTTATTTCATCAGAGAGAAATAAAAAATACTCAATGAATTCGGATTGTTTTTTCAAAAAGTTAAATTTGTAGAAAACACACTAACAAACAATAGATGAATAGGCACAAACACAAATACAGAGACCAGATGAAGTATAAATGAATGAGTTCAAATGAGAAGGGGAAACACAAAAATGTCCTCTAGGCAGTAAAAATTAAGATTGATCATTATTGAATTACGGATTGATAGAATTAGATTTGAATTTATGTATATTTGACCAAACTACATTTATACAATGCCATTCTGCATGTTCACCGCATAATTTAGCATTTTCAAATGATGCACACCAAAACGATGAACCACGTGTACATCTATCATCAAGTTTAGAAGTTATCTTATGTGATGATTTCGTTAAATCTGATAAAGTAATCCATACCTTAGTTTCACAATGCACTAAGGCTGCATTACCGCATTTTTTAGCAATTTCTTTTGATTGACACCAATAAGGTGCCCCCCATGAACATGGATCAGATTTAGTTTTCTCAATTGGCTTTGGTAATGATGTTGTAGTAGCATGACTTTCAATAATACTATTATCTTTATTATCATTATCAATGCCATTAGTGTTAATTTCGGGCCAATAAGTTGCTATACAATAATTTGTTGCATTACATTTTCTAGCCGTCTCTTTTGATGAGCACCAATAAGTAGCGCCCCATGAACAAGCAATTTTATCAAAATCATATAAAGCGAATGAACTTAATTTGTCTGGATCTTCATTAACAGACTGATCTATTGTTTCAGACAATTGTTCATTTTCACCATCTTTCACTGAAGCACAGTTGATTGTACGCTGTATAACGTATAAGTAATCATAAGAACAAATATAGAGAATTTTAATCAAAATGATCCAAACAAAAATTTAAAAAACGAATTTGTAATAGAACTTTTAATTATCCCTAAAACGTTTCGAAGCCATAACAATGAAAAGTTATTAGATGGAGTAAAATAGACCTTCAAGTATTAATAATTTGTAGGTGATATTCATCATAGATTGACCTTAGTTAAAGGACCTATTTGTCCAATGATTAAATGTTCGCTGAGAAAACGCGAAGGTCTAAGTTTAGTTCTCTTAGTGATCGGTGGTGGGGAATGTTCAACAGTCCCTGACTACGACAAAACATCTGTCTAATGTTCCTTTGTTTTCAATAGCACTGCACAACAATTGAAGCTAGTCGGACACAAACATCAACTAGAAAAACTAATTTCTACAGAAACCATTCAGGTATATTAACGATTCGCTTTAAGCGCTCTCATCTACAGAATTGAAAATAATTACAAAATATCCTAGGAACGATATTCAGTAAATTACATCAGCTACCTTAAAGTAGGGCTAAAGCCAATCCAACATAATGATCCAGTGACGAAGGCATCATGTGTTCCTTGAAGTCTTGATATGTAGCAAAAGTTTTTTGAAGAATAATGAATCAATGAGGAAATTATCTTAGTGAATGACAAAATGTAGATGGAGTAGGATGTTTCTCATCAATACCCGGAAACAATTTGTTTCCATAATCAAAAAGTCGATAGGAACAGCTTATTATCATTGAACAAAGAGTATCCATTCTTGCTTAATAGATTTGTCCGAAATACCAATGTTTGATTAGATTTCAATTCACTGAGTACTGAATAGAATTTTAAAAACTCAGTGTTTTCCCCTATGTTTAACCTGACGCAATCAAAAACCATCTGTACTGAAAGTAGTTTCAGAAGTGTAGCCATTGCAGTGGGGAAGTTTAAACAGACTGAAACAGGCGCAACGATACTGAGTTAGCACTTTTAGGATTAAAACCCGAATAAACCACTAACAAAGGTGGTTTTTCATTTTGTATTGATTGTTTGAATCTTCTTATTGACACTTACGACTGTAGTTGGTCCGTTTCTTATTGGCATATGTGCATCCTGAGCCTCGATACTGTCAGTAAGTCACAAGCATTCTAAGCAGAGATGAATGTTAGTTAGCAGTGGAATCCAGAACGCATGTTTCATACTAACAACGCGATGACGTTTGAAGCGAACGGTACTGGGTTTGAGCCTCGGAGCGAACTTCAACTCTGGGACGCAGATACACGCATCTGACGAGTCCCAAATTGATTCCATTGCCAGCGGACATTTACCTCTGCTTAAAAGGTGGTTGGTGTTATCACACGCTAATAAACACTTCATTTTACCGAGTGGTCAATTTTGTAGCACATTATAAAGCTTTTGGAACTACAGAGACTCATAACATCAAGAAGATTCAAGTAGCAAAAGTGAAACTTTCTTGTCAGTGACTTGATTTGCCAACCGAGAAAATTTATCGTGAACGTTGAATCTCTAGACCATTTAGCTTGCATCCAACGGTGTTAATGTTTAACCTCAATCAACCCACAACACTGCGTGACCACCACCCATTGTCTTCGGTGAGTAACTGCCTTACTCAACAAGACTTAGCTTCACTGGTCATGACTTTTTACCACAATTCCGGAAATTTCCTCTCGAAGCTAATCACTAATGGGCACATGATAATTGTCCAGTGCTTCCAGATTTTCAATGATCGTCTAACTTAAATATGTTCACGATTACAACGAAAAACACGTTAAACAGAACATTTTAAATGATCAAATAAATTTAGAATACATACAGCACATATTTGTTCGACATTATTACGATCACTCCTTGAATGAATCAATAGCACTCCTGCCTTTTCAATCACATCATAACACTAATAAGATATGAAAAATAAACAAATCAACAGTAAGATATTTTTGAAATAATAAACATCTCTATACGAAAACAGATATATTCATTAATTTAAACAGCTATGTACACACACATTGTGAGAGGTAACTGTCGGGTAGTTACGATCAACGTGAAACCTTACAAATATCCCCAGTTGTCCAAGTTGTTACATCACAACGGGACAATGAGATCAAATCGACAAAACAATAAGTAAACAAGTCGAAATAATAGCTGTATTGATGACAGAAAGGACTAACCACAAAGAATCTAGTTTCAGAGGAACAAATAAATCCATGGAATAAAGAATAATATTGAAACGCAATATCGGTAAACGTAGAATATACTGGTGGTCTTAAGTTAGCCAATCAGAATTACGACAATCCCTCTTGTATCTTGCACAAAATTTAAACGGCAGTTCTAGATAACTTGCATGTTATTATTAACTATATGAAAATTGACTGTCATTGATTCTTAAAATGCTCGGAATCAAAGATATTTATTATACAACCAAAATGTGAATTTAATACGGTGCTTAACCTAAATGATTTAATGAGTGTTCAGTTTAGAAAATATTCTCTTCCTAATTCTTCCTTTAAATCTCAACCGTAAGCTTCTCAAGTTTATAAACGTGAAGGTGCCAAAGCATTGAATTAAAACTGATGTTAGTTCGGTGATGAAAACCACAATCCTAATTTGTATACTCACCTCAAAACTAAAGTATTTCTTTTAATGACATCATAACAAATGTCATGTAGTGATGAAAACCCGATGGGATGGCAACTCCGATTCAGAATACTATCGCCGACTCCTAATATGTAAACTTGACCTTTTTCGTAAACTACAAAGAACAATTCAATGTGTGAGGGTTAATTATTCAAACTAAAACTGTTATTCCAGTTATTTCACTACTTTGTATCATTCATCATTTTATAATTATGCAGTGTTTTCTGATTTACTGACAAGTCGAGGTTGGCAAGATGTACTCGCAGTCTTCGGGAAATCAGTGCTTTATAGGATCCAAACTAGTGTTGCTCAGCACCACATTTTTAGACGTCGTTAAAAAGCTTTTCAAGCTGTGATTGATGACCTGAAGAAGTGAGATGTGTACAGACTATTAATCACTGAATAGTAACCAATATCGTGGAAAGTCAGTTCTTTCAAGATTGCATGTACGCCTGGCTAACGAGTGTTACGTAACACGTAACCTAAATCCACGATTTCCTGTTGACTACCTCTAATAGTCTAGCATTTCAATATAGTGCACGTGATGTTGAGTCACTTTGACTAGTGGCTGAATTTGACCTTAATCAATAATATTAGATCAACACTAAATGATTAGACAAACATGACATTGAATGAGAACTTTAGTCTAAATTTGATCGAATAGTTTCAAAGTATTTGGGCGCCGAGTTGATTTGATACATTAAAGAGGAAGAATGTATTTGAAAAATCTCAGCGAAAGAATTTGAAGAAAATCCAACGTTTCGCCTGGCAATCTGGCCCAAGCTTTTTTAAGGAAATACAATCAAACATCGATAATTTTGATGCTTGATTATATTTCCTTGAAAAAGCTTGGACTAGATTGCCAGGCGAAACGTTGGATTTACTTCAAATTCTTTCGCTGAGATTTTATGAACACATTCTTCCTTTTTAATGCCAAACATGACATTGGTCACTACTCACTGATCAATCAACTGTGCATAACGAGGTTTCAATGGTGTATCGGACTGTCATGCAAATAACTAATCACACTCAGATTTTTGACTGATAATATATATTTTATTCGCCTACGTTAAAAGAATCATGAGTGAAAAGGCATTTACAAGCAGGTTTATTGATTAATCAACAAGTCCACTGCCATAAATAGTAGTGAATGTTATACACAGCAAAATCAGTGTGCATTTCATATGAATTATGAATAATCAATAGTCTTTTATCATAAAACACACTCATCAAACAGATCCGTAGTTATATGCAGTACAAACTATACATGTAGTTTAAGGTTACTGATCTATCAAATAGATATAAAAATACTCTTACACCCAATCAACATTATATTTTTTTTCTATGTGAAAGATGAGTAAATTGATGTCATAATAAACAGATATACAATATTAAGCTATTTGACTATGGATTATCTCTTGTTTTTTGACATCTTATCAAAATGAACCCAACAATATATATGCTCATTCGAACTAACATGAATAGAATTCCAGTCAACCCCGCGATTTACTTACAGTTCTTGGATGGGTATTATTTCGGGGTTTCATGACAGATCAAAGATTGACTTGACTATCATGCACTTTTAGAGATGAGACAGAATTTCAAAGTGAAGATGGAAAGTGAGTATAAAAATGAATAACTTAAAAAAATTCTTACTGATACTCAATTACTTTTATGATAGTGTTTTAGAAGCCACAACAGAGAACCTACTTGTTGTGTTAGTGACGACATCATCTACATACAATATAGAAAGGGGACGTTGGATATTACTAACGATTCAGTTGATGACACTTATTACAACTAATCTAGCATGAAATACTTACAGATAGCAACTAATTCATTGGATTTGCTTGAAATGCGTTAGAGAAACAAAAAGACGAAACTTTGGATAAGATTTTAAATGGAGCGAACCAACAGTACTGTCATATGAAACATCAGTTCGAAAAAGAATTATGGGACAAATGAAACATTAAATTTGAGAACGAAAAAAACTAAGAATACTGATAAATTTTTGTCTTTAGACCATAATGGTCAAGAGTAGTAAAAAATAAATAATGAAGATGATAAGAATCGTTGAGATTCTCTTATAAAAATGATTTTTGTAACAGGTTGATAAACAGCTGAGAAACCGTTGAATATCAAAAACTATTAGACAGCACTTTTGTCTTGGTTTGAGGAATTGAAAGTACAAAGTAATTCATCTTAGCTAAATGATCTGAAGGTAATATACTCAACATGAAGCACAAGCGTTCACAAGTTCCACAGTTTACAACAGTGTTGTATAGTGGATGATTACAAAGTGTAAACCATTAGATTACAACTTACTGATCTAAAGAAACGACAAGTTCACGTTTTTGTATATTTGGCGAACCACAAAACTAGTAGGACGACTACTCAACATAAATTTTGACTAAAATAAACACAAACCATCCTCTCTATCTATTTCTTACCTGCTGTAATTCATTTTCAGTTTTGTATTCAGAGCATATACTGCGATTAATAATTGGTCCACCAAATAAATCCCATTGTAACAACCATTTAGTTGTCATAACAACACACACGGAACATGGTGATTTATTAATTTTGTCATTATTTAATGATACTGTTGAAATACTGAATAAATTTAAGAAATTTTTTACTTGCTGTTCATAACATTCATTTAAACGATTACATTTTTTAGCCAATTCAGAATTAACACATATCTCTGTTAATTTCATTAATTCACATTGTGATTTAAATAATTTATTCTGATTACTTGGAGGATAAGTTTTCCAACCAATGGAACTGCAATACTTTACAGCATTACACATTTTTGCTGTACTGTAATCTCGACACCAATAAGTTGAGCCTGAAAGGCATGGATTTTGTTCGGATAAACTCCAAGCTGGTATTGATTGGCAAAGCGAAATTGTCTTTATAATAGGATTAGGAGAAAAACAATGATAAACATGACAGGGAAGAAGTTTAATAATTTGTATGAAATTACTTACGTTCATTTACGCCAACAACAACAACAACCAAAAACGAAAAGAATGAATGTATTTGATCGTTTAAAGATATGAACTATCACAACACATGTTTCTAATTTGATGTGAATGTTATGGGCTATAGCCCATAAATTGTCAAGTGACAAGATCGCTAATCAGGGCGCCGACTTATATGATTCTGATGATGCTTTAACCAGCATGAGCAACCTAGAGTCAACTCTCAGTCCTTCTTGCCTAGTCCTGTCCGTTTGAGTCCAGAACACAATCTCAACTTCCACGGAATGAATAATGTATTTCAGACATATGTAATTTATATATAAGCAAATCAGACCGCCTCAACGATTAAATAGAAAATAACGATTATACAAGATCAAGCCAAAAGTGGATGTGAGTGTGAGAGACTGTACCTAATAGATTGTGAATAAGTGATGAAAAGTAACCACCACCTAACAATTCTTGAACCTTCAGAAATACAGGTTAAAATTAATCATTTGAAGTAATGGGCGTATCAGTTCTAAAAGATTTTATATCAGAAAATACAAACACGACACATCAACGTATCATCTTACACGATAACCGACCAATTCCATGGTTGCTGTGACAAGATGCGATCATCTGATAGTCAAAAAATTGGGAATAATATAATAAGGAAAACTTATGGTCAATTAGTAATACTAACGCTACGCCAACTGTATTGTATGGACATGTTTTTTATTAGTATAAATAATACATGTTTCAGTGATATTAGTATTGATGTACATTGCGGAGAGGGATGATGAAACATTCAACTCGGAGTATCACAGCTCCATATTCCACAACGCATTAACCACCACTTCATATTTCTACCAGCGGGCATCATCTTTTATACATAACGTGTAACACGTAATCTGAATGCGCAATCTTTCTTTGGAGTTACATTCTTATTTCAAAATAACTGAGTTATATCATATTCAACTGCAATGAAAAGTGAAAAGTATGACTTCTGCAAAAAAGTACGTTCAACAATTGGAAATATAATGAAGACAAATTGAGAAACCGATGACCAGTCTCATCTCAATAACTTCCGTAATATAAATATAGATTCACTAATAAGTATAAATGAAGTATATATTCTATTAAAATCTTAGGCAAAAATAGATTACCGAAGAAAATGAGTGAATTTTGTCGACTATATGAAGAAAACAAAAAAATCTTACTTGACATATCTGCTCTGGTGTATAATTATTTTCTATTAGTTTAATGACATCATCGAAATAACGATCAATCAATTCGGAACACTAGAAGACGAAGAAACATAAGAAATGCATATACAAAACTGATTAGTCGAAGAGATTTTGTAAAGAATGGTTTGATTTATAGATTATATTCGTCACAGACTAACCCCAGTAAATGTACCATTGAAAACCTGTTTTGTTCTATTGCGGGACTCTTCAGTACAACACACCAACCCTGCCAGGGACTGAAACAAGGATATTGGACTTGGATTCGAGGGACTTGGCACAATCCATCCTAGTTTCCAATGGTATTCTAACTGAGGCAAATTAATCGAATGATTGAATTCCGCATCAATGTTAATCATTTTTAAACTAGTTCATGTTGCGTTCAATAACTATGCAATCATCTATCTATCTATCTGAAATAATGTTAATGGCGTAATTTTTCTATATTATACACAACATTATTTCGAACCATTTCAATTAATCATTTTACATTATATTTACCACTTAATCAGAATTAAAATATTTTAGAAATGCTGATAATGTTCATATGACCTAAATTTCTGAATATATATTTTTTTCTTTCTTTAAAATCGATCTCATAGAAACTTGATTAGTGATATTACAATATTACAATGGGCTTTAGAATAAATTCCTAAAAGTTACATAATGAGAAGCTATGAAGCTATAAAATCAGACAGTTGTAAGTGATTTATGATATTTGATGAAAAACATGATACATATTACCTACCAGTCATGCTGTAATATATTGATGATCGATGAGGATTCACATTTAGTGGGTAAACGTTTATCATGAATATTACTGTAAGCGGATGTGTAGGTGGTGAAAACCTGAACTAATTTATCAAGTACAGATGTTCAGCTTCAGGTTACACTGTTTCTGTGAGAAATAGTGATTCTATCCAACTGTTCAAACCGAAGATAATGATAAGCAGACCTCGAATTTACAACCCACATATCGAAACATGAGTGGTTGAAATATCAAGTCATCACTCTAAATGAGGAGTATAATCACAATTATCATCGATAGACCCCTTTAACTTCATGTTTATATTTGAATTTCTATTGAAATATTTCTTATTAATAATTACGTGATTACTATTATTATTCGAGTTTTTTAAATCACACTAAATGTGAGATCAATAAATGAAACTTTTCAGCAAACACCTAAACTGTTAGAATCTTGTGGTTTGCTCAAATAAAAACTAATGAGTATCGTTTTGTCCGATTGGTTCTTTTCATAATCTTTTTTAAAGCAAGAACATCAAGCAATGTCTATGGGAAGACATACGTATTAGACGTTGGTTATTCAGTAGATCTGGTACTCTCTTCTAAGTGATAAACAGACAAAATAATCACAGGCTTCTGCGACATGCAGAAGACGCTATTTTCAGCTTCAACCCCAACTGATGAGTACAAACTGAGCTTGTGTTTCACTAGACACTACTTTGATAACCGCTTCACTGATAGCCTCACCCTGTATATTTTATCTCACCTTTTTAAAATATTTGCAATTTACTGTTTGTTTGACCTCTTTTTGAGAACAAAGAGTATAAGAGCTAATGATCGTTTTCGATAGCTTCTTGATTAGTCTCTACAGTTATAAATCCGAAATTATCATTTCTGTGTTACAATAGACAAAGAAGTTGAAATAGTTCATGTTATAAACTGAAAATGCCAAACATCACATCGATTGAGCCTTTAATACTATAAGTTACTAACAGAGTAAAGCAACTTCATTATTTATTCTGGTCATATTTCTATTCGTAATGTATAATTATTTATTACAACTAATCTTACCAATGTAACACTAGTCAATAGGATGCTTAATCCCCTATCTATTTCGTCCTGTTTTCTGATATCTTCAAATACTATTACTATTATTAGTGTTATTATCATCACTATTATGAAAACAATTGTTTTTTCGACAATCAAGATCACTTTCACCATTTTGTTTACTGCGATCATAACAATTTACTCCTGTTTCTTACATTCAATTACGTCATATCCACTCTTTCTCTTTTGTGCGCACTTATACATTGAACTTGTATGAATATATGGAAAGTAATTGTAATTATTTGTCATCAAATTAAATGTGACTGCATACATATTATTAGATTTGTAAATCATTTCATTGATTTATACAAATTAACGGCATATTTAGAGGACTTAAAGTACAAAGAAAATGAAATGAATTCACTTTATCCTAAATCGTTGTTATTCATTCTTGACTAAATGAGTATTATTGATAACTTACTCTATCTGCATAGCCAGCAGGTAGAACGGAACATGCATTTTTAATCAGATGTTTCAATTCCTCCTCTGTTTTATTATTTTGAAGTTGTCCATAAAGTGTTTCAACGAAAAATTTACAGGTTAAACAAACATCTATACCAGATGATAGAGTTGCAGTCTACATCATCATTAAGACAAATAAATATGTAAAAAGAGAAAACAAGATCTTGTGATTAATAAAATACTAAGCACTCAAAATAACAAAGAAAAAGTCAACTCAATGATAACAGAAAGATACTGCGATTTATTCGGAGGTTTATAATCGTTTTATGTTATCTAGATTGAATATAAATGGTTAAACAAAAACGAGTACAATGAGATTGCTTCGTGTATAGTGAAGGCCAAAGTGACTATTTTTAATAGTGGTGTTGCTAGGCTACTCTGCCTGTAACAAATCAAATGAACAATATATTCAATATGAGTAGTTTCACATTGCATTTGTGAAATCTGGTTTATCTAAACTAAGAAAACTCGATAACTGCTTCCAATTAGTTATTATAGCAAGTTCGTTTGTATTTGACGAGCACATTATCCTTAGACAAAACTAAACTATCCAACATATTGAAAAACTGTACAAAATAGGAATAACGTATACCAGGAAATCATAGCACATTACAGATGATAACAGAATTTTTAAAGATCAAAATATTATTCAAAAATATAGAACAAGCAACTACAAAAGTCAGTTTTACGATAAATTACATGAAAATCTACATAGAAGCAGTAGTCTTTCAAAACAACCACTGTATCTTGATGATGAAACTTTGTTCAACCTGCGAAAACGAAACGAGACTATTGTCCACGGATATGAACAATTTATACTGTGCGATTAAAGAGGTACGATAAACAGAAGTTTCAAAAAGTATATACATCCATTGGATGAGATGATTAAAATGGGAAAATCTTGTGCATATTGATCCCCAAACCTTACAAAAGAAAACCATTTATAAAAACGAACCACTTCTCATATCTTAATAAAAGGATAAGTGAAACTTGCTATTTCGAAAAGTTGTTAGTACGGTTGAAACAAACGAGGCTGGCCTAATGTTTCCCCGATTGTTTAATTTTCATTATTTTTTTAAAATTAAAGTGATTACAGTCTCCAGAAAACTGAGTTTTCAGAAGATTCGAGAAATAGGTCAGATAAATTAACTATACACATGTGTAGATTAAAATCACCTGTATTACTTAAAATAAACACTAAAAGTGAGATTACAGAATAAACAATGTAAGTTGCTTGCGCATACACCTTTGACTCCCAGCTGTTTTGAGAAAAAGTTATGGTTACTAATCGGTAGTATTGTTTGAATCCAAAACATGTGTGGATAAGTCAATCTATGAATAAGATTTGCTCATATATATTGTTGCATACCAATGGTGTATCGATTTCAGCAAGAATGTTAACGACATGAATAAAAACCATTAACAACAATTTGCATGTGACTCAAACGAATGACTGCTCCATTTTTAAAATCTGCTGCGACAGTAAGAATAAAATTAAAGAAAAAACACTATCTTCTATCTTTAACACAATCGCATATATATAGAAAAACTAAAATACTGCTGTTATATAACTGACATATCTCGATCACTTAAACTATATTTCCTACTAGTCAGTCATTCAGTCAGTAACAACGTAGAACTTCGTACGTACGTACATCAGTTTGAGTTGCCACACCACATTAGCACAGAGATTCAGTCGTCGATTCAAACCCCATGGTGGTAGAGGTAATAAGAGTATAAGCAGTAATCGGTAAAATTAGTGTTTGAAGATGCTATTTATAAATTTGGAAAGAGAAAAAAAAAGGAAGAGACATGAAGAATCCAAAAGATTAGAATTTGGGAGAACACAAAGAGTGGATGCACCTGCGCCATTGCAAACGATTTTGAGTAATGTCATTCAGGATCTCTAACCATCGGTTGCTATCATATCGCGGTCCCCAAACAGGTAGTCTATACCTATCAACATGACTCAGACCACTTGTCAGTGACTTCATGGACTTGTGCCATGTTTTGGTCTGGCCGCCCCTAGCTTTCTTCCAATCTACTCCTATACCACTGAACATCGCACGTCGAGGCAGTCAGTCGTTGGGCATACGTAACACGTGTCCCAGCCATCTCAACTGATGAAGTTTCACTACTTCATCAATTGATTTGCCATCCTTACCTAGTACCCGTTTCCTAACAACTGTGTTACTTACTCGATGGTCCCATGATATACGAGCAATGTTTCGAAGACATCTATAGTCGAATACTAGTAACTTACGAATATCCTCTACTCTTACCGGCCATGTTTCACTGAGATAAAGTAGGACGGGACGTACTGCTGCACAGTAAACCCGTCCTTTGGTTGATAGACGGATATCTCGCCTACGCCATAAATGACGCAAGTTGGTAAAAGCTAGTCGAGTATTCTGTATCCGTGCTGAGATTTCGTCACACACCAGACCACAAGGGCTGATGAAACTTCCAAGATAAGTGAAGCGATCGACACGCTCAATTACTTCACACCCAACCAAATCCTGAAGCAACATTTTACATTTCGAGTGGGAGAATCGCATCCCGAACATGCTAGAACTGTTGCTTAGAGTGGTCAGAAGACTCTACATTTTGTCAGCGTCTTCACCGAATAAAAATATGTCATCAGCATATTCTAAGTCAGCAAGTGAAACTCCCAGTAGAAGTTCAACCCCTGGAAATTTAGATGAGGAGAGTGTTATCTCTAAAAGTACGTCGACCACAAAGTTGAACAAGAATGGAGAGAGTGGACAGCCCTGATGAACACCACTTGATGTAATCAATTCTGATGACAGTTCGCCATAAGCTCTCACTCGACCAGTTGTGTTCGAGTAGAGAGCATTTATAAGGTTAATGTACTTCCTATTAATTCAATAACCAATTTATTGTTTAATGAAAAATTACAGAGGGCCTTGATAAATATCAAAACCATAAATTAAACACATCATTTGCACAGCTTCTTTGCCTTGTCCTTTACACACTCCATTATTCCTCTAATTCTGTTGTTATTTGGATTACTCTCAGATTTCTTTTCTTTTGTCTTCGCTGAAATTTTCTGCCAGAAATCCAACCACCGATAGCGGTTACACACTACTTATAACTGTCAGAATATGTAGTCTTCACCACACTTATACAATTGATCAGTGATAATGAAATGAATCTGTGAACTGTATATAACCATTTTCAAGTAGTTACCGTTATAGAGTATAGGTAAATTTAACAGTTATGAACTATGAAGTTAACTGTCTAAATATCAATAAACAAAAAGTAATTCCAGTGGTTAAGATCATGAGTCAGTTGAAGCTAGACCACCATGGAAAACCTGGAAGCACTGGATGACCGTTTCGTCCTATTGTGGGAATCCTCAGTAGTGCGCATCCACGACCTCGCCCCCTGCGAGTTTCGAACCCAGGATCTACTGGTTTTGCGCACGAGCACTCAATCACTAGACCATTGAGTTCAACCAGGTCTGTTGTGAGATAGTAACTCACTGAAGAGAATGGTGGATGTGTCGCTCCATTTCATAGACTGGTTGAAGTTAGACATTAACACCGATGGATGCCGGCTCAGTGGGATAGTGGTTAAGTGCTCGCGTGCGAAACCACTAGGTCCTGGGTTCGAGTCTCGCATGGGGCGAGGTCGTGGATGCACACTACTGAGGATTCCCACAATAGGACGAAACGGCCATCCAGTGCTTCCAGGTTTTCCATGGTGGTCTAGCTTCAACTGACTCATGATCTTAACCATTGAAATTACCACAATATCAACGAAACCCATCTGATATTAAACAAAAGTAGTTTAAGTTCAATATTCACTAACTAGAAGGGGAAAAAGTATTGCATAATTGATATTATACTGACATAATTCATTTGTCAAATACAATAGAACATTATTTGTAATTCATATCCAATAGTAAATTGATATGATATGTCATTCAATTGAAGTTTCTGATACTTTTCATTTAATAATACATTCATTTCATACTACTTAAATTCGATAGATACAATTTATGTAGAATTTAGTTTAGAATAAACGTTTTAACGATTTTTTATTATTTAACTCGTGCTAATTCACATCATGTAAGACGAAGTATTAACATTTATATACATAAACAGTTGAAAGTTTACAAAAAATAGACTAATTTACAACGAAATTAGTTACTAAATAGAGTTAACATAAACAATTACACAATAAACTTATCATTCACTCAATTGTTCTATCTCTCTCACACACACGTCGTCACAATATAACGAAATGAAATGTTGAACAACGAATACGTAAACGTTCACATTTAGTACAGTAGATAATAAATTGTGATCATTCATGTTAATACTGTGATCATAACGTATATGGTTGTAATGAAAACAAGACATTTTATTAAGTAGTGTTTATATGTGTAATATAGTGGGTTTGTAGATCACTCAATTTACATTTTATTTCAAGTTACAGATTCGTCATTTCAAAATGGATTGAACACACATAGTGTCAACACAGTGTTAATGATGTTGAGATTTAATAATGTATGTTCAGATGAAGTAATAAAAATTCAACTGATGCCACGATCATAAAACATTGCAATTGGGTAGAGCTTAGATATACTTTACGAAGGTTATCTCGGCGAATTCCAATTTGTGCATTATTTGCCGACGATCGGACTGAGTGGAAGACGGAAATAAATTTCCGGTTTGTGACATACAACCGTGAAATGAGAGACATCAAGCGGTTGGAGGCTGACCCAGGTTTCAAGCAAGTTGGAACTCATCAGCAAGTATACTCGTAATCATGAGGAAACTAATGGGCTATGAGATTCAAACCTCTATCAACCAGCTTCATGAAAGGATTGGCATGTGCTGGTCTATAACAATAATCAGGTTAAAGTTCTAGAGATCGTGTAACTGGATGAGATGTTATTAGACATAGCTCGGGAGAATTCGGGGACTACCCTGCTATATTTATTTCATAAACGCCATAAACTGAAGATAATCTAGCTTGGTTGCTTTTCTTTTTCTTTTCTCAAATTGAAATATACCCTCTTAAAATAATATTTATTTGTTGTTGATCGATTGTGTGAACCTTCCTATTTCTCCTGTAGCTCTTATA